CATAGTCTTGAAGGAATTAGAAGCTACCACTTAAGTTGTCTCCCTAGAAATCCTGTATAATATTCAATTGTTGAAAACTCAAAACGTTACTTCTTTAAGATCAGATGTATAGATGAATGTCGCTTCTTTATATTCAATATTAATGTCTCCTTAAGACTCTTTATTGGCGACCAGCAGGTGGTATGTTGGTGAAGGCACTGGGCATTCCCACATGGCTGACCACAATTTAAGTCCTGGACCTGGTAGTTTGCTTTCTCACTTCCTCTTTTTCTCTCTCTCTCTGTCAAATTAAACATAAATGAATAAATAAATAAAATTAAGTAATTATTTTTTTTAAAAGACTCATTTATCACATTACTGGCCATTTAAAGCACTCTTTTTTACTTTTATATCAGAAATATTTTATTTTAAGAAAGTGTAAGAGTAAAGTTAATATATTGACAGTGATGCAGGATATAGAATATCTCCATTACCACAGGGATTCTTCATGTTCCTTTTTATTCTGCATGCGTGTTTTTCTTGTCTCTACCTTTATTCTGTTTTCTGTCTTCATAGCTTTTCCTTTTAAGAATCTATTGTAAATAAATGGAATCACATACTGTGCCCCTGGAATTTTTTCTTTTTTAAAATTCAGAGTAATTCTTTGGAGATTAATTTAGGATGTTGTATATATTTAGAATTTGTTTATTTTATAGTATTGAGAGTACGAGTTTTTTGCCCCCACTCTACAACCCCCTCTTGCCCAAGGGAGGGACGACCTTGCCACAGTCTTCTCTTCTCCATGCTCCTCTCAGGATTTTGGACATTCAAGTAAATGTGCCTGGTGTATTTCAAGCTGCTGAGTCCAGGACACTAACTGCAGTTGACCATGTGGGATTCCAGTGGCTTAATCACTCCTCCACCTGCTGACCGTGATTATTTTTCTTCTTAATTGTTAATGTGGGCTGTATTGATCTTTCTTTAATATTACCTATGTATTTAATGCAATAATTTTTTCTCTCTCCACTGCCTTCATAGGTTATACATACGTTTTCTTATGTAAACTTAGTATTTTATTTCCACTTACATTGAGTCAGCTTATATTAAGATGTCTGAGATTGGTGGTTAATTCTAAAACCTTGACAGGAAATATGAATGGAGGAAAGAGTTTTACAGAATGATTATTTCGCATTGGATGCTTTCTCTCGCTCTCCCTGTGTGTGTGTGCGTGCGTGTTTGTCTTTTTCAAGTGCACACACTGTAAAAATTTTAAAATTATATACACAGATTTATTTATTAAAAAAAATATCTTCAGCATGAACTTAGAATTCAACAACAAATGCTACAAGATTTGCCTTTCACTTTTTTTCTTTTCAGGTTTTTGGTATAGGGTATGTATGCTTATCAGAGAAAGACAGAAAAAGAAATCATCTCTGGGCGTGGTGGCGCCCGCCCTATGGCAAGAAAAAGAAATCATCTCTGATAAGGATTGGCCATGTCACAAGCCCATCTCCCCCATTATCCTCTCAGAATTTTGTGTATATGCCTTACACACACGCTGTATAACTTAGAAGGTTTCGGGTCCATGACTGTCAGCCATTTGGGAGTCCAGTGCTTAATATCAGATTGCCTGCTGGCCCTCCTGCCATCTTAAAGTTATGAATATTATATTAGATTCCAGTGTAGTTCTGATATACTTATGATATAAGTTCTTTTAAATTAGTTGATTTTTTTTTTTTTTTTTTTTTGGAGGTCTTTGCTACAGGGCACGTGCGCTCGCCAGACAGAGAGACTGAATGTGAGAAGTCACCCTACGGGGGATGGTCCCGCTGCAATTCCTTCTCCATTTTCTCTCAGGATTTTGTGCAGGCACACACGCATACGTGCCCAGCATGAGTTTTAAGCTACCGGGTCCGGGACGCAAACCGCAGTCCACTACATGGGAATCCAGTGACATAGCCAGTATGCTAACTGCTGGTTCCCAGTTGAGGTTTGTTTTATGGTCTAGGATCTTCCTTGTGTTTGTGTATTTTCCTAAGGTATCTTTAAAAAAAGATAACCTCATGTTTTTGGGCAGTGTTCTACTAATGTCACTTAAATTCTGTTAGTTGATGATCTTTTTTGAGTTTCTCCATATCCTTGCTTGTTTTCTATTTTTTCTGTAATTTATTTAGGGAAGGGTGTTGTCTCTGACTTTAATTATGATTTTGACTATTTCTCCTCTGGGTTGTTAGTTTTTTCTAATCAGGAAATATTTAACATAGTTGCAAGTATAATTTCAATTTCCTTGTTCCATATTTATCACATAGAGAGTATTTCTTAGTTCTGCTATTATATATGATATTTTAACTCCTTACCTGCTGCACATTTTTAGCCATGGTGGAGGGGGCCTTCTGGTGCAGGGTAGTAATGAAAGCCTTGATTCCCTATATAGACCTCATCTGTTATTCTTTAATTGGGCAGAGTCTCCTTTATACCTTGAGCTTTCTTACTTCCTCCTATAGACATTGGCATGCCCTCTTCTAGCCTTAAGAAGTCTAGGCTTTCCATTCAATTTTTATTGGTATTAAAGATGGGAGGGAGGGCAGATAAGCTACTGTATTTCTGCAGGACTTATTCTGAGTATCAGTTATTTTCTAGAAGTTCTTGATTGTGCTAGATTGCCCCTTTTCTGATCTTTTGTCTATAGAGTTATCCTTTGGGGAATTTTCCTTGTCTTAGGTAAACTGGTACCTCAGGTTCAAATCTGGGATTTTTTGTTGTTGTTGAGAGGTTTTTGCTATAGGCACATGTACTTGCCAGAAAGAAACAGACAGAGATATACAAAATGAGAACCCCACCACTACCACCCTGTGGATGGCCTTGCCGCATCCCTTCTCCTCCATTCTCCTCTTGGGATCTTGGGCACGGACACATATGTACCCTGCTTGAATTTAAGCCTCCCGGTCTGGAACTCGAAACGTGGCGTACTCTGTCAGAGTCCAGGAGCATAGCCATTATGCCAGGTGCTGGTCCCATGCAATTTGTAATGTGAAAGAAAACTCAGAGATTTCTCTGCCTTGTTTCTTGGGGTTTGAAGACTTTAGCCAAGTCTGCATTTTTTTTTCATTTTTTTGGAGAGTTTTTTGATATATGTCATGTGTGCTCCTTGGAGAGACAGAGACAGAAAGCTGGAAATCACCCCGCAGGTGTTATGGTCTCTACTCCTTTATTCCCCTCTTGGGATTTTAGACATACATGCACACACGTCCATTATGATTTTTAAGGCACCAAGTTTAGGACTCAAACCATGGTCAGCCAAATACCATTTGTTGGTCCTCACAGGTCTGAATTCTTTTCATCACGTTTCAGGGTCTGCTTTCTTCTCTATGGTATTTAGATTCCTGGGTTTGTTTCCTATGTAGTGTCAAAAAGTGTTTATCTTAAATAGTTGGGAATAATGGATAATGTATCTGTTACACAATCTGAAAAACAATGATTTTAGTTAATTTTATTTTAAGATGTTTTTTCTGTAGGGTGCATGTGCTCGCCAGAAAGACAGAGACAGACAGAAAGTGAGGAATCACCCCCGGGGGGATGGTGGGCACACACACCTGGTGTGAGTTTTAAACCACCAGGTCTAGGACTCAACCGCAGTTTACTACATGGGAGTCTAGCTAGCGACATAGCCATTACCCTATCTGCTGGTCCTATCGATTTTAGTTCATTTTAACGAGCATTTTATTTCATAAAGATAAATGAATACTACCTATATTAGTTTTTCTTAAATATAGATAGTTTTCATTTGCCTTTATTAACATTTTTTTTTTTTGAGAGGTTTTTGCTTTAGGGTGCGTGCACTTGCCAGAAAGAGAGACAGAAAGCCATGGGACTTAAACTGCAGTTGACTAAATGGGAGTCCAAGGACATAGCCATTATGCTAACTACTCGTCCCATTTGCCTTTATTTTGTAATATAGGTTTTAATTTTTTTTGGACCAGTTGTTGGTGTGGAGGTAAAGATGTTTGATCCAACGTGGCTAACTGTACGATTCCAGCCCTAGACCAGGTTGCTTGAAATTCATGCCAGGCACATGTGTGTGTGTGTGCCCAAAATCTTTAGAAGAGGGATAAAAGAATTGTACTGTGGCCATTCCCAGGAGTTTTTGCCATAGGGCACATGTTCTTAAAAGAGAGAGAAAGAAAATTTGGACACAAGCATATCCCTGGTATCATTTTTTTAAAAATAATTATTTTATTTAACTTTACTTATTTATTCACTTATTTTTTTCAAATTTGACCAGAGAGGGACAGAGAGAGACAGAGAGAGAGAGAGAGAGAGAGAGAGAAAGTGAGAAAGCAAGTCACCTGTTCCAGGACTTGAACCGCAGTCGGCCATATGGGAATCCAGTGCCCCTAACCACCATCATGTCACCTGCTGGCCCCTCCTAGTATGATTTTTAAGTCAGTGGATTGAGAATTTGTTCAATATTATCTATGATCTGCTCTCTTTTATTTATAACAGATGCCATTTTAAATCAGGTTTTTTTTTTTTTAATGATCTAATTTACAAGTTAAAATTAGCATTTTTTTTTTTTTTTTTTTGGAGCTTTTTGCTATAGGGCGCATGTGCTCACCAGAGAGAGATTGAGAGACAGAAAATGGCCTCGTCGCAATCCCCTCTCCTCCATTCTCCTCTTGGGATTTTGGGCACACGCTCACCTGGTGATTGTTTGAGCCACCGGTTCCAAGACCTGAGCCGTGGTTGACTACATGGAAGTCCAGCAACATAGCCATTACACTAACTGTTAGTCCCATTAATAGCACATATTTTAAGTTTTAAATTGAAGATTTTTTTCTTGGAATTTAAGTTAATTTCAGAAAAATGACACGTTAGTTTAGTCATCAGTTATACTTTTGAGATGTTTAAGGATATTTGTGTACTACGTATATTAAATGCAGTTTATCCCAAGACATGACTAAAGCATTGATGGCTTGAGTAAATACAGATATTTATTTGATACTTGTGTAAATTTTTTCTAGGGAAGTTGGACAAATGCAAGTAAAAAGCAACGTGAAAAACTACTTGAGCTAATACGTCGACTTGCAGAAGATGATAAAGATGGTGTGATGGCACACAAAGTGTTGAACCTTCTTTGGAATCTGGCCCATAGTGATGATGTACCTGTAGACATCATGGACTTAGCTCTTAATGCACACATCAAAATACTAGATTATAGTTGTTCTCAGGTAAAGGATAATTTCTTTGCTCATGTTTTCTGACCTACTTCATAATTAAATTGATTATTTTTTATCAGTAGTCAAGTTTAATTTTATTATTTTTGTTTTTATAGTATTTTGAGGAGTTGCCTTACTTTTGCTACATAAGCGTAGCTTCCTCCTTGCTACCCTTCATTTTTTTAGCCGGTATACATGTACCATTCACTAATAGTCTTTATTTCTCTATTAAAAAAATTTTTTTTTGAGAGGTTTTTGCTATCGGGCACACATGCTTGCCTGACAGAGACAAAGCAAGAAATCATACCCCCAATCCCCAGGGGAGATGGCCACACTGTAATCCTTCTCCATTCTCCTATCAGAATCTCGGACTCATACGTACATGTGCCTGTTATGAGTTTAAGCCAACAGGTCCAGGACTTGATACTCGGTCGACTACATTTGAGTCTAACGACATAGCCATTCCGTAAACTGCTGGTCCTACTTAAAAGATTTTTATAGGTGAAATGATATATAAAAGTAATGTTAAATATTTAGCACTAAATTTGACCATAAGAAATGAAATTCCATAATGACTTCTAATAACTTGATAATAAAATTTACAGAAATATAAGTAGTGACTTTTTAATGAGCAAGTCACAATACCTTCCCAGTATTTAACTTAAAGTGATTTATGGTTACTGATCTTAAGAGATCATTTTATATTAATTTTACCTTTAATCAACTTGACCTATTTTTCTGTTATTATGAGCAGTTGTTTCCCATCAGTACAGTATATTGATTGAGGAATTTAATTATGATTAATTTTCTTTAATGATTTTTATTTATGTGTTTATTTTTTGGAGAGTTGTTTCTCTAGGGCGCATGCGCTTGCTAGAAAGACAGAGACAGACAGACAGAAAGCAAGAAATCAACCCCCGGGGTGATGGCCACACTGCAGTCCCTTCTCCATTCTCATCTTTGGATCTTGGGCATGCACGCATACATGCCCGGCGTGGCTTTAAGCCACTGGGTCCGGGACTCAAACTGCATTTTACTTGAACATTGGAGTTCAGCGATATAGCCATTACACTAACTGCTTTTCCCTAACATGATTTTTAAAAAGTCCTACGTGTATATGTTTTTATCTTTTGAAAGTAGGCATTCTACTTTCTTAGGGACTTGTGTTTAATCAAGTCAGAAAAGATCAAAATTATTTTATCAGGTTTTGAAAACTAAGACAATTGCGATAGTTCTGAGATGGTTACTGAACTGATTGCCTCCATCAAAAAAAAAAAAAAAGCATGTACATATGTAGGTATATATATTTCAGTAAATAAATTCAGAGAATACATTAAAAACCAGAGTACTTTAAAATGAAGGTATCATTCATACCCCCAGGGTAGCTTCAGTTTCAGTTGTCAACATTAAACTTTTTAAAAACAATTTTGAGGATGAGGTGCCTGCGGATAGTGTAATCATTACGTCATTGCACTTCCATATAGTTCACTAAAAAACTCATACTAGGGGGACCAGCAGTTAGTGTAATGGCTATGTCACTGGACTCCTCTGTAGTCAACCGCGGTTTGCGTCCTGGACCTCGTGGCTTAAAACTCACGCTGGGCACGTGTGTGTGCATGATCAAGATCCTGAGAGACGAATGCAGGAGAAGGGTTTGCGTCTCGGCCATTCCCCCTGGGGGGTGATTTCTCACTTTTTGTCTCTGTCTGGCGAGCGCCCTATAGCAAAAAAAAAAACCCAACCCCCCCCAAAAAAAAACAAAAACAAAATTCACGCTAGGCATGTGTATGTGTGTGCCCTAAATCCCAAGAGGAGCATGGAGGAAAAGGAATTGCAGCATGGTCATGGCCCCTGTAGGGGTGGTTTTTCACTTTTATTTCTATTTCTTTGGTGTCTGCGTGCACCCTGTAGCAAAAATGTTGCCTTGAAAAAAAATTCTGAAGAAGATAGAAAGGAAAATTTATCAGACACTGTTCTGTGTAAAATAGGTAAAGATGTCCAGATGGTTATTGTGGTGGTGAAGGTGGCCTAGTCCTGCATGTATCACGGTGCAGTTCAAGTCCTGAACCCCACCAACTTGAAAAACAGACGGGACACATATTTGTGTTTATAATCTCAAAAGTACAATGTAGGACAAGAGATTGCAGGGGGTCATTCTTCCTGAGGGGTGCTTTCTCATTTTCTCGCTCTCGCTGTCTCCATCTTTCTCTAGTGAGCATATGTGCCCTATAGCAAATAAATATAGATAGGAAACTTTCTAATCCTGGTAGCAAGTAACACATTGTATTTGCTATTAATACATTTTAAGGTAAGTACATAGGAAAACCTCAGTTATTTGCTCAGATGATTAGGTACAGTGTTATATGTTGCATTTGAGTCTTAACTATTTGTGAAGTATTTATTCAACACTGTTGTAGAATGATTATGAGTATCTTGAATATAAGAGGTATTTGCTAAGTGGGACCAGTAGTTAGCATAATGGCTATGTTGCTCGACTCCCACATAGTCAACTGTGGTTCGAGTCCTGGATGCGGTGGCTTAAACTCATGCCGGTCTCGTGTGTGTGGGTGCCCAAGATCCTGAGAGGAGAATGGAGAAGGGATTGGGGCGTGGCTATCCCCCCTGGGGGGATGATTTTATGCTCTGTCTCTCTCTGTCTGGCGAGCACATGTGCCCTATAGCAAAATCCTCTCCAAAAAAAAAAGGAAAAAAAAAATTTGCTAAATAACAGAAGTGTTACAGCAAAAGTGGTATGCTAGTTATAAATATTCAACCAACATTTATTAGTTATTCTTGGTGTTTTGGCACAGTTTTACATCACTATGTTAATAAGTACTTAATATCACTAAATTTAGTAAAAAAAATTTTTTTTAAATTAATTCACCAGAGGGTATGTGTAATTCTGTACGGGGGAGGAGAGGAACATCAGCGTATCTCCTATATTGGTAATAGTCATACTGCAGTTTTTCCTCCTTCATTTCTTTGGCATTTGGCACTCACTCACAGTTGTGCCACCCAGGCATGTTTTTCAAGCAGCGTGTTTCAGGAATCAAACCACACAATTGTCCATATGGGTTCTCGTGCCTAAAACCACAGTAACACCAGCTGCCTTTTAAAAAAAGCCTCCTCCTTTTTAAATTTCAGCATTCATTTGTAAAAGATAAGTCTATCCCTCTGAAATAAATAAATCTAAGTCTACTGTTCATGTCCCTCATCTAAAGTTTTTTTCATGAATCTTGACAAAATTAGTATCCATGTACAAATACTTAAAAATTCTTGAAAACACTCATAGAATTTAGTATAGCAATTATTTATTTAAATAGTTTTCCCAGGAAATAATTTGAAAACACCATAATGTACCCAGATTCCTTATTTACTGTTTGTACAATGAAACCTTTCATGAATGTAGTGTGTTTAGCCATTAATATGACATACTGTGGAAAGATGTTAATAATATTTAATGAAATTTTAAAATTATTGTCCTAATTTTGTTTCTGAATCTAGAATAATTCTGCATCTAGAATAATTCTGTTAGGTATTCAAATTTCTGTTAGATACACAGATCTGAACTTCTGTGTTGGATCAACTTTAAAAGAGTGAAACAGATAAACCACAGAAAAATGTTTGAAATACATGTTTTCTTATAGTATTATTTATATTCTTTTAAGTGACTTTGTGCACATATTTCGTGTGACTTTATTTCTATAGATTTGTTTATACAAATAAAGTATATATATGTATCCTTATATATATATTTAAATTTTGTATAAGGCCTGTACACTTGCTGGAGAGAGAAACAGATACAGCGATATTAAGACATTACTAAGAGGAATGACCGTGCAACAGTTCTTTCTCTGTTCTGGTTTTTGGATTTGGGATTTGAGCACATCCAAAACTCCTTCTGCACAGTCAGCAACTGCACAGTCAGCAAAAAGGGAACTAAGTATTTTAACCTTTACAATCCCTTTTTGTTGTTCCCAATATTACTTTTTTTGTGAATTAAAAAATTTGGGAGTTCTTTGCTTACATTAGAAAAATGTACTGTCATTAAGTTCATACACACTTGTAATTGGCATTATGTAATTTTGCTTACTTTTATAATATGATACAGTTGAAGAGAACATTGAACAAAATGCAGTACCACATTGAGACAAATATTTTAAAAAGTGTACTTAAGTGAATGGTCCTGTCTTTCTGAATTATACCTTGCTGCAGATATATCTGAGTTCATGAAACATGTAGTTTATCATATTGCTTTACAGTTTGTAGTTTTAATGATAATTCAAAATAATGTGCTTTATTATATTAAAATATGTGCTACGTTTAAAATATTCATAATTCTCAAAATAATTTGGGGGTAAAATTAATGTATTGAGGTCTGGCTGTTTTTAAATATAATCTCAATTCTGTTTGTATAAGGATCGAGATACACAAAAGATCCAGTGGATAGATCGCTTTATAGAAGAACTTCGCACAGATGGCAAGTGGGTAATTCCTGCTCTTAAACAAATAAGAGAAATATGTAGTTTGTTTGGTGAAGCACCTCAGAATTTCAGGTAAGGCTTTACTATTGAGAATTATTTTTATTTTTACTTAAACTTTATTTCGGAAATAGTGTGTCAATAGAAGCACTTCTTAAAAAATGAAAATGAGTGGACCATCAGTTGGCGTAATGGCTATGTTGTTGGACTCCCACGTAGTTGACTGTGGCATGGGTCCGGGACTTGGTGGTTTAAACTCATGCTGGGCCCATCCATGTTCATGCATGCTCAAGATCCCAAGAGGTGAATGGAGAAGGGATTGCGGTGTGACCATCATCCTGGTAGTGATTTCTCTCTTTCTGTCTCTTGTCTATCTTTGTCTTTTTGACAAGTGCATGCACACTATAGCAAACACTTCTTAAAAAAATAAATAAAAAATGAAAATGAGAGTGGAAAAACGGAGTTACTGAAGGATTTGTTTGTGACAACAGAAGAATATATGATCTTACTAGCTTTTGTATTTTATGACACTTGTGGGTTAAATAATATATCTAGTGTTAACATAGCAACATAGTATCAGATAATGCATTTGGGTTCTTAGTACAAAGTTTTGGCAAATAGTTCTAACTTATGGCGAATATGTGTACCAGACATAATGTTTACATGTTTGTTTTATTTCTCTCTCTCTCTCTCTCTCTCTCTCTCTCTCTCTATCATTTAACCCTCGTTTTTCTGTCTGTTCATTTGATAGTCATTGTTGTCTCAGTTACAGTACTTTATACTAAACTAACTAGTTCCTTAATCTTATTTTTTGAGATGTTTTTGCTATAGGATGTGTGTGCTCACTAGAAAGACAGAGCGAGACATAGATAGAAAGCAAGAAATTATTCCCTGGAGAGTATGGTCATGTCACAGTCCCTTTTCCATTCTCCTCTCTGGATATTGGGCATGTAGTACACATAAGCTCTCTGAGTGAGTTTAAGACACACGGTCCGAGATTCGAACTGTGGTGGACTACATGGGAGTCTAGCGATATAACCATTACACCACCTGATGGTCCCCTTTTTTAGATTAATGTAACATTTTCAATATTTTTATTAACTTTAAATTTCATACTAAAGATTTCTATTTTCCAAGTAAAGAATACTGGTCATTTTTAAGTCTTACATAATTAGTCTTAGTTGTCTAATACTTAAAGGTAATTTAAATATTGAAAGATGACAAAGATATTTTTACCTTTCACTTAGGTATTTTTTTTTTTTGGAGAGATTTTCACTGTAGGGCATGTGCGCTCGCCAGAAGACAGAGAGAGACATAGAGACAGAAAGCTAGAAATCACCCCCCAGGGGGGATGGTCACGCCGCAATCCCTTCTCCTCC